GTTATGAAACACTGGGAAAGGCAGGATGTAAAGAAGATGATGAACCAGGCTCTCCTGTAATCCTCAGCCTCCTGAGATAGCAACTCAGGAGGATGAGGTAAGATGGCAAGTTTGAGGCCAGCCTCAGCAACTTAATGACGCTACACAAACCTGTCTCAAAATAAAAAGGGCTGTGAATGTAGCTCAATGGTAAAGTAGCCCACCCTCCCCTGCAAAAAAAAAAAAAAAAAAAGGTTCTGCAGCGTCTTGGTCTTCTTACTTAACTAGATGTTATCTTGCGGTTCCTGCCCCCACCCCCACCCCAAAAAAACACATACTCACAGTTAGGAGCAACCAGGTCATCTAAAAGTGAAATTGTAGTGTGTGTGTGTGTGTGTGTGTGTGTGAGTGAGAGAGAGAGAGAGAGAGAGAATATGCTAGAGCGAGAGCTTGGGCGCCCAGAGGTGTATAATAGTACGATGTACATGGAAAAACATGGAGCCTTGATTCTAACAGAGGACTGTTTTAAATTGAAAAGGAGAGGGGAGACCATGTCATTAAGAATAATAGCAAACTTCTATACTTCCATAGTACTAACTGTATCGGGCACTGTTCAAGTACTTTACATTAACTCCTATAATTACCATGGATACTTTATAAGGGAGTTAAAATTTACATTGCAGGTGACTATGAAAGATCTTAAACAGGGTAGATAATCACTACCATTCTTGCATTTTAGAAGGATTACTTTGCTATCATATGGAAGATGGATTCGAGGAGGACAGATTGAAGGAGAGCAGGCTAACAAAACCCCAGGAGGAGGACCTGTGAGACTGAAAAGGAGAGGAAAGGAATGAAAGAGATGATATGGCGGTATTAACAGGGTAGCCAATTTGGGTAGATGGAGGGAACAGGGGTCTATTATGATACCCAAGTTGCCAGATTGAAATCTTGGGTGACTGCTTAAGGTATTACCAAGCTTGGCTGGTGGTACAGACCACAAAATAGTTCAGTTTTCTTGTATTTGTAATACCTGTGGGATATCTGTCTGGGACATCATTCCATTTACCATCACAGCCAATTCAGCTGATTGGCAGATGGGCTTTTTTTTTTTTTGACCCTATATCATTCTTATGTGTGTCCCTCCTAATATTTCCAACTTGCTGGAAAACAACAGAATTCTCAGTAGTGGAAAATTATTATTAATTTTTTTGGTTAAGGGTATGAAAATAATGCCTATATAACTATGAAGTAAATTAATAACAACAATAGGCACATTACATACATTATATCATTATATCCTCAGAGAAGCTCTTCAAATTAACTCTCATTATTTAGCAGATGGAAACACTGAAGACCATAGAGGCTCCATGTCTTGCCCAAAGTTACACTAAGTGTATGTGATTTCACCTTTTTGCACTGTTTGAAACTTCTGTCATGAGCTTGTATTAATTTTTTTTAGTGGATAAAAAATAAACTATGTGGGTCAAATATGATTTGGAAAGTAGATGACAAAGTGAAGCCCCTCAAACTGAACACTCCTGTTCTGTCACAGCTTTGCCTCTTGTCTAAGCAGGAGCTATCCACAGAGGGTGCTTCTAGCTGAATGCAGCAAGTCTTCCTTAGTCTCATCAAGCTGTTTTTGTTGCATTCTTTTCCAAGTTAACTCTGCACCTGGAAAAAAGAAAGGGAGAAATAGAAATGGCTCCCAAAACTTGAGTGGTGGTGGTAAGGAAAGGAATGCTGGCAGGATTGTGATGGTGAAGTCATTCTCATATTTTAGCAGCCTTATTGGGGGATAAAGCCATGGAAGCACAGCCCCTAGTAGAGGGTGGACCTCAAATTCTCAATGTGTAGGGCTTGGGTGGTGGCTCAGTGGAGGAGCATTTATCTAGCATGCATGAGGCACTGGGTTTTGATCCCCAGAACCACATAAAATTTTTTAAAAATGAAGATATTGTGTCCACCTAAAACTGAAAAATAAATATTTTTAAAAATTCTCAAAGTGATGGACTACTTAAAGAGATAATACTTTTGTCAGTCAAAAGTATTTAAATGCTCTTTAAATGCCCCATTACTCATGTGGTTGAGGCTTAATGTCTATACAGTGAACAAAACTCATATTATCTGATGCACTCAAAACATTAAAATAATTGGTTGAGATACATAAAAATCAATATGTTGAATGTATCTTAAACCTCTTATTTTACCTTAAAATAAGTAAACCTATTCATTCACCAGTATTTTGATGTAGCCAAGAATTTCTCTGAGTATCTAACCCCATTCTAGAAGCCATAAAACACAATCGTAATGCTTCCCTCTCATTTGCAGTTTTAGCCTAAGTGGGAAGAGGACGCTTGACAAAAAAAAAAAAAAAAAATTGAGTGCCATGTCCCTTGAAGTTCATTTATTTTCCCTAAACATTTACAATTTTGCTGGGCATGGTGGCACACATTTAGGAGGTTGAGGTAGGAGGATCATGAGTTCAAAGCCAGCCTCAGCAAAAGTGATGTGCTAAGCAACTCAATGAGACCCTGTCTCTAAATAAAATACAATATAGGGTTGGGATATGGCTCAGTGGTCAGTTGCCCTGGAGTTCAATTCCTGGTACCCAAAACAACAACAAAATTTAAAATTTTCCCCACACATTTAGTATCAAATTTCACAGGAAAAATTATACTTCTTTGACACTCACATTTATTCATTCCTATAACATGTGGCACTACCAAAAAATACCCTAAGTTTGTGAACAAATAACTGAAATTTGGTCTATGCACTAAACTACTGATGAGGGTAAAAACAAAGGGACCTTCAGGAAAATGTATCCTGTTAAATACATGTACCTCATTTGTTAGTCTTTGTGTTTACAAATGGATGAAGAATGCCAACTAATCCAGAAAGTTCTTTTCAGGTGCATAATCCATAATCATGTCAGGTTTAACACAATGTAATCATTAATGTTAGAAATTTTTCATTCTTACAAGAATACTGCAAAAGCCATCAGAAAGCAAAGTACAATACTATAAATATAATTCTTTTTTTTTTTTTTTTGCTTAAAATTTTTTTTAATTAAATGATATATTGAAAGTATAAAAGTTGCCCAGGCACAGGAGTTACAGAGTAATGCACACAGAAGGCTACAACACCGGTGACAGTTCTGGTCAGCTTTCATTATGATAGTTTTTCCAAAATATCCAAAATCATCAACTCCAGCATTTTTCCTTAATCTACATGATTGCAATTCCTGAGGTAAACTTAGTGACAACAACTTGGATGTGAACCAAGACTGCTGGGAAAAGTCAGAACTTTATATTCCCACATATGATACAATGGAATTCATAATTGTAATCAGACATTACAGATTTAAAAGTGAAAATGGGCCCTTACATGACTCTGCATCTACAGATATAATTTTAACCCACAAACAGGGCTCTCAAAATCTTTTTTTTTGGGGGGGTACCAGGGATTGAACTCAGGGGCACTCGACCACTGAGCCCCATCCCCAGCCCTATTTTGTATTTCATTTAGAGACAGGGTCTCACTGAGTTGCTTAGAACTTTGCTGTTGCTGAGGCTGGCTTTGAACTCAAGATCCTCCTGCCTCAGCCTCCCAAGCCACTGGGATGACAGGCATGAGCCACTGCGCCCAGCTCTCAAAATCTTTTGACTTATAAAATATAGTTTCAAGGGGTTTCATTAGTAGTTTCTGATGGGCTGGGTAGCTCAGTGGTAGAGCACCTGCCTAGAAAGCCTGGGGCCCCAAGCTCCAGCCCAAACACAACAAAATAAAAATGAAAAACAATGGTGATTTGTGTTTAGATAAAAATTCTTAATCTGTAAGGAGTAAATACAATTAACATCATCAAATATAAAATCAAAGGTTTCTGTCATTTTCAAAGTTAGCACATACCCAGCACCCCAAGGAGGGTGACAGCAGCGCCAGCCACAGCCCTCAGACTCTCCCGTGGGAAGCACGCGGCTAGACCGTCATGTCCAGGTGCTCTGAGTTCCAGTGCCCCACGACTCTGCACCAGGAGCAGGCTACCCTGAGAGCTGTCTTAGTGAAACTCCACATCACCAGACTTCCTTAGCAATGATCAAAGGGGCTTCTGGAGACACACGGACATTCAAAATGACTTCCAGAGCCCGCGCAGGAAGGCGCGCGTCCCTCAGCCGACCTGGGCCACGCAGGGCTTCAACAGTGCCTCTAGGGAAAGCTCCTTCTGGTATTTCCCTAAAGCCTGTCACTTCATGTCATTTCACGTTCTTTTTTTAGTTGTAGGTGGACACAGTATCTTTGCATTTATTTATTTATTTCATGTGATGCTGAGGATCAAACCCTGTGCCTCACACACATGAGGCAAGGGCTCAATCACTAAGCCACAACCCCAGCCCCTTATTTTACAGTCTTTTTTTTTTTTTTTTAATATATATATTTTTAGGTGTAGATGGACACAACACAATGCCTTTATTTTTATGTGCTGCTGAGGATCGAACCCGGGTCCCGCCCGTGCTAGGTGAGCGCTCTACCACTGAGCCACAAACCCAGCCCCCCTTATTTTACATTCTTAATAAAACAAAATAAACTCTTTGTTTTACTTATAGCATGTTAAAAGAATTATTTCCCCCTCTACCTTTTAATTAAATTTTCCAGCGGAAGCCAAAATGGACTAAGGAAAGAAAAAGTACTTGGTTATCTATTTACAAATTTAACTTTAGGTAGTAATTCAGACATTTAAGCTGAATCATGAGTGGTTTTCTGAAAAATAGGTCCTTTAAGAAAAATTAAACTGTACAGGAAATTAGTTTTGGTTTTAATATTCTTTAAGTCATGAATGAATTTTCCTACAAGTTCACATGATTCCAACTGAAGGAAATTTAATTAATGTGCATGTCAAGGAGCAGAACATGTGGATAAAGGCGTGGAACTTTTTTTAGAAGAAGGTGCAAAGTTCTAAAAGCCCTTGCCTTTTTCATGAACTTCTGGACCTTTAAACTACTTCGTTAAAACCATGCACCTTCTTTCCAGTCACATCCAATAAGCTAGATGACAGAGTTAGCTTTTATTCACAAATGCAGTAAAACACGAGGGGTCAAGTATTTTGCAGAAACTCAAATTTCTACAAAATGGTAACTCTGGAATGATAAATAAGTTACTTAATACACACAATTTTAAGATAAAAGATATTCTGCATCGAAGTGTCATCTCTTCACGGCTTGAGAAAGGGGGACAGCCTCAGTGTTGGTGCCTTCACCCCTCTCCTTTCCAGGTGGTCACCCATCGGCCTTCTTCTGTCTGACAAGATTTGGGTTTGAAGGCTGAAGTGAAGACTCTTTCAGAAAGGTGTTTGGGACACCGTCCTTAGTTCCATGCAAGAAATGAGCCAAAATTCCATATAAAAGAGGTATTTTGCTGTCCTTTGACTCTTCAAAGGCATTTAGTTCACGGACGAGAAACTGTCTGTCCAGTGGAACTGCAGGTTGACCAGATTCTGCTGTGAGGACCGATGCCATATACTTACATTTGTTGAATTCCAAATACTCCCGAATTAATTCGTTAATTAGAAGGTTTTCATGAGACAACGTTGGTCGGGGTTCATGATCATCATCTAGGGCACTGAAAACTTCAGCTCGGATCCTTGCTTTTAAATGCCCTAGTACCCCCCTTTTTTCCAAAGTGTCCTTTAAAACAGCCTTCAGCTCGGCGACAGTCGCCATTTTCAACGGCCGCTGGGGCCGCTATAAATATAATTCTTGCCTGCTAAGGTCTTTTGGTAACTTTCCATTGCTCTTACATAAACTCCAGAATCTTTAACATGATATCAAAGCCATTTATACTCTGTCCTCTAATGACCTAAGTTCATCTTTTAATATTTTCTACATAACCCCGGCCACACACACACACACACACACACACACACACACACACACACACGGGATTAGGGATTCTTCTATTCCTTTGAACTAGACTTATATGAGTTGCCCCAAGACCTTTATAGTTGCAGTTGCCTCTGCCTGGAACTCTGTTCCCTCCCCCACATAATTGGCAAGCTCCCATAGAGCCTGAAGAGTTTATCTTCCTCTAAGCTATGTTTTCTGACTAACTTTGACAAGAGCCCCTGCTGTGGGCTTACCTTGCATCCTACATTTCCCCTTGTAACTCCATTATTTTAAATGGGTGTTTACTTGCTTGAATCCAAACAAGTGGGTTTCCCAAAGGCAAGGACCAGCATGTATGTTTACAGCTCTATCTCAAGTTCCTCTCACAATGCCTGACACTGTTTGATTACTTGTTTGGTTGAATCAGTTATACACTTTGAAGAGGCAAGACTGTTGGTTAGGGATGGAGGGCCTCAGAACCTGACTCCTCTGTTATTCACCACTTAAAAGTTATGTAATTCACATAAGATTTGAGGCTTCAGTTTCTTGACTATATAGTCAGAAAAATAACAGAACCTAAAAAGAGGTTACAAAATGAGATAACATATAAATTACTTAGTCATAGAACTCTTCAGTATATGTCAGCTACTATTTCTTTTGCTGAAGTGATGTATGGATATTCTGTTTCACTTTATATACATTTTATGTTTATATAAATGTTTATGTTATAAGCAGCCAATTATCATCTTACGTGATAGTTACATCTATGAAGTCACAGCAAACATTGAATCAGCTACATGGAGCCATTGTTCCCAGGGCTCAATGTGAGGCTAAGTGAGGTTCCTGTGAGCCTCACTTCATATCATCATCATCAACTGATCAATATATCATCTTGTTTTATTTGTGTTTCTGTTTGAAAGCATCTTGTTTATTATACATTATTAGGTTCATTAACAATAAACTCACAACCAACTTGTGCCTGAACAAATCTTATCTATCACTTGGGTTCTCTCTGTAAGGCACATCACAGCTTTTTTATGGTTAGGGACATTAGACAGCACTGCAGCACTATTCTTGGGTCCATTTTACCCCACAAAATCATCAAAATAAAACAAAAACAGAAAACAACCCTGACAAGTGTGTCACTGAAGAGACCACACAAAGAAGGACACTTTTTCTCCAGTATGAGAGAAAAAAAAAAAAAAAAAAAGAGCAGCACCTCATCTGACTTCAGCTGGGAAGGTCCTACATGTTGAGCTACAAGTGTTTTTCACTGTTTGGCACATATTCACGAGTAACATGAAAGTACTGATTTGGGAATCACAAATACATCTCAGCAAATATACAGAATTGTGAATAATGAAAATAGACTGCATTTGTGTGTATTTGTATGCAGTATATATAGCATTTCTTTTAGTGTAGAAGGGTTAAATAGAGGAGATTATAGGGGAGTCAAATAATTTTGGAAAAAATAGGAAGGGTACCAAGAATGAAGACATAATAACCACTGGCAGAGAGGTTCCAAAGTGCCCATTAGAGAATAAGGAATAAGGCAAAGCCCCAACTTTCCCCTACCTCCTATGGGAACCCTTTGGATGAACCTGTTTGTCACAATAAAATAGTCTATGGTCTCAAAGATGGTCAAGTACAGATGTGTAGAACCTATGATAGTCCGCCCCATACAAGGAGAAGCATTTTGCAGATGTGATTCAGTTTAAGAACCTTGAGATGAAGATATTATCCTGGATTATCCAGGTAGATCCAGCCTAATCACAAAATCAATTGTATTTCCACACTCTTATAGTCAACAATTAAAAAAAAAAAAAGATGATTCCATTTACTATAGCTTCAAAAAGAACAATATGTGTAGGAATCAATTTAACAAAATAACTACAAAACTTGTATTCTGAAAACAATGACATTATTCAAAAGTCTTAAAGAAGATAAAATTAATGAGAAAAGTTCCACATTCATGGATTGGAATATTTAATATTGAAAAGATGATGATATGCCCCAAATTGATATATAGAATCAACAAAATGCTTATTAGAATCCCATCTAACACATTTTTGTGGCATGTCAATACATACTTATCCTAAATTTCACATGGAATTACCTGGAACCCTGAACAGCAAAAACAATCTTGAATAATAAAACAAAGTAGGAAGATTCACATTAATTGATTTCAAAATTTACTACAGTAATTGTAATGCCAACACTGTGGTATTGGCTTAAGGATAGACCTACCGATCATTGAAAAACTATTAAGAGTGCAGTTTTTGTCACTATTCATTTGACACAAGCCAACTGATTTTTAACAAGAAGACCAAAAAAATTAATAAGAGCGAATAGAATTTTCAACAAATGATGCTGGAACAACTGGACAGCCACATGAAAAATAAAAAAAAAAAATAGACACTTATTTTAACACCATTTACAAAAATCAGCACAAATTGGATCAAAGACATCAATGTAAAAGCTAAATTATAAAATTCTTAGAATAATGGGGATACATCTTTATGACCTTACATGCAGCAATAGTTTATTAAACATGACACCAAAAGCCCAAGCAACAAGAGAAAAAAATTATAAATTAAAATTAAAACTTTTATGCATCAAAGGATACTATTAAGCAAATGAAAAGACAACCTACAGAATGGGAGAAAATATTTACAAATCATAAGAGTCCAGTGTTCACAGTGTGTGTGTGTGTGTGTGTAGTATCCATATCCACACAAACACAAAAAGATAACCCATTTTTTTAAATTACCAGAGGGCTTAAATAGTTATTTTTTCCAAGTAAAATATAGAAATGGTCAAAAAGCACGTGAAAAGATGCTCTGCATTATCAGTCACTAGGAAAATGCAAATCAAAATACAATAAAAGATACCTCTGCACATCAACTAGGATGACTATAAAAATTTAAAAATAAAAAAAGAAAGTGAGTGTTGACATTGAAGGATATAAGGAAATTTAAACTCCCATTTGTTGATGATTTAGAATGTAAAGGGGTACAGCCACTTTTAAAAACAGTTTGATAGTTCCTCAAAAGTTAAGCATAGAATTACCAAATGACCCAGCAATTCTTATTCTACATATATATCCAAAAGAAATAAAAACAAGTATTCAAACAAAAACCTGTAAATATACACTCATAGAAATAATATTCACAATAACCAAAAAGTGAAATAACCCAAAAGTCTAGTAACAGAAGAATGGACAGATAAATGTGAAATATCCAAACAATGGAATATTATTCAGCCATAAAAAAATGAAGTACTGATACCTGCTGCAACATGAATGGATCTTGAAAACGTGCTAAGTAAGTGAAGCAGTAGCAAAAGATCACATATTATGATTCTATTTACATTAAATATTCATAGAAACATAAAACAGGTCAAGGATTGTTTAGGACTGAGAGTGGTGGCAGGTTAGGAGGGTGATAGTTTAAGGTCATGATGTTTCTCTTTGGGGTGATGAAAATATTCTAAAACTGTGCTGGTGGTTTTTTATATCTGTAAATGTACAAAAAAGACATTGAATTGTACACTTTACAAGAATATGTACAATTGGATGAATGGATGAAATATGAATTATGACTCAGTGAAACTGCTTTAAAACAGAAAGGAATGGGGCAGGGGACGTGGCTCAAGCGGTAGCGCGCTTGCCTGGCATGTGTGTGGCCCGGGTTCGATCCTCAGCACCACATACAAACAAAGATATTGTGTCCGCCGAGAACTAAAAAATAAATATTAAAAAAATTCTCTCTCTCTCTTTTTCTTTAAAAATATATACATAAAACAGAAAGGAACCAGGTATGAATTTTGAAATTTTCAATAAATGCAGATTGCAGAAGTTGCTAAAATTGAGAAACTGTCATTGCTCTAGAGAAAACAGAGAGGCTATACAAACTTTTGTTTATACCTCAGAAAATTCCTTTCAAGAGGCAAAGTATGTGACTCAAAGATTTTCACAGACATCAAAACAGAAGCCAAAGAAAGAGATGAAATTATTTATAAAAGAACAGCAAAGGAGTCTCTTGACTAATGGAGCAAATACCAATGTCATACACAGGAGACTCACAAGTTTTCTGTGAATTTTATATCAACAGAAACACAGCCAGCTTGATATGAAACGAAGAATGGGGAGAGAAAGAAATGAAAGGAGGATGGTCAGAATATTACTCTTATTGGCTAGAATAGTCTGATAACTCTACTCAGTTGCAAACACAGGATATAGTTCATGGGGAAAAAAATGAATCGGACAGTGGGGTCATGAGTCACAGAAAATTATTCACAGGACTTAAAACTAAATGGACACAGAAGTTTAGGAGGCTAAGACAGGAGGATGACGGGTTCAAAGCCAGCCTCAGCAACAGCAAGACATTAAACAACTCAGTGAGACCCTGTCTCTATAAATAATACACAAAATAGAGCTGGGGATGTGACTTAGTGGTTGAGTGTCCCTGAGTTCAATCCCCGGTACCCCTCAAAAAAAATAAATTAAATGGAGGTTGCCCAGTGTTTTGAAATTACCTGAACCAGTGACCTTTCCTCCCCGCTTCTATTTTCTCCTTTTTTGAACCAGAATATCTATCCTTGTATTGTACACCTGTCCCACTGTTGTATGTTTGGAGCAGATAACTGTTTCTCTGGCAATACAGTCCACAGATAGAGAAAAATATGTCCTCTAGGATGATGGATCACATCCCAAGCTTCACCCATACCTAATTCATGAGATACGAGATGTTTGCATTAATGAGATTTAGATGGGATTTTGAACTTTTAATTGATGCTTAGAGACTTCTGGGAACTTGGAGATTTTGTGTGAGATTGAT